CATCATCATCATCAGCATCATCATCATCATCATCATCATCATCATCATCATCATCATCATCATCATCATCGCCATCATCATCAGCATCATCAGCATCATCATCAGCATCGAAACTGCCATCATCCTAATCCTTAGCATCACCATCACCATCATCATCATCATCATCATAATAGTCATCACCACCATCGTCTACAACCTCAGCATCATCATCATCCTCATCCTCATCCTCAACCTCATCCTTATCCTCATCTTTGTCCTCATCCTCATCTTTACTCTCATCATTTCCGTCATCATCCCCCCCGCCTACCCCTCGTCCTCCTCCCCCTTCCACTCCCCCTCCTCCCCTCCCCCCCCCTAGCACCCCCTCCTCCCACCCCCCGTCCTCTTCCTCCTTCACCAGCTCCCCCCCCTCCCCCTCATCCACCCTCCTCCCCCCACCCCCTCCCCCTCCTCCACTCCGACTCCACTCCCCCCCCCCGTCCCGACCTCATCCTCCCCATCACTCCTCCATCGTCCCCCTCCTCCTCCTCCCCCTCCTCCTCCTCCTCCTTCCTCCCATCCCTCCTCTCTCCTCCTCCTCCTCCTCTTCCTCCTCCTCCTCGCTCCTCCTCCTCCTTCTCCCATCCTCCTCCTCCTCCTCCTCCTCCTCCTCCTCCTCCTCCTCTTCTTCCGCCTCCTCTTCCCCGAAAGCAGGCGCCGGCAAGCGGGCGCCCCAGACCTCCGCTGCCGCCTCGTGCCGCAATCCTCCGTGACCCACGGACGACCATCGCGAGCCGTCCGCGGGCGGCGCCCCGATCGCGCCATCGGCCGCCGACGCCCTCAGGTGGCGACATCCCCACCATCATGGGGGAATGCGAAGTCCCTGAAGACGGGACGGGTTGGGCACGAGTGGGTATAGCTAGAAGTAGAAACAAGACAACATAAACATAAACTTTCGACGGTCCGCGCGGATCCAAGAAATCCGCGCGCAGCGCCAACATTTTTATGTTTATGGTGCTGTTCGTCTTCGACCATCATATGGGGAATGCGAAGTCCCTGAAGACGGGACGGGGTGGGCACGAGTGGGCATCATAATTAGCTGGCTCAGAATTCGACAGAGGCATCATAGCCTCATCGATCATCTCATCGTGGACTTCAGGTGGGCACGAGTGGGCATCACAGCCGGCTCAAAATCAAGAGAGGCATCATCGCCTCAGCGATCCTCTTATCCTGGACTGCATGTCATGCGTAGCATTAAGTCCGTCGTGTCCCCAACAGTCGGATTTTGCACGAAAAACAACACATCAAACAATGATCAAGAAAAAACATAAATAACTATTCTCGAATATTCCCCTCTGTAGAGGGACACGCCCAACTCAAGCGTAGCATGTTCTCCCCTCGGGACAAGGACAAATCACAACACAATTGTTCGCAATGTTCAGCCCTGGGGGGGACCTCGCCAGGCCCATCGGAAGCGTCAAAGACAGACTCGGGATGAGAAGGCAGCCGCGGGTGAATGGGCTCGGACCTTCGGGGGCCGACGTAAGGAAACAATCACGACGCTGGAGGCCTGGGTCCGAACATCGATTCCCCTGGAGCGATGGGAGCCGGAGGTGAAGTTCGGAGTTCGTCACAGGTCCGGCGAACTCCGCACCCTACCCCCGCCGCCCATCGAGTTGCCCTAATCGTTGATCGGCGAGCGTAGGGCTCGGTTTCCGCCGCCGAATCCAGGCTTTGCATTTTTCTGCACGCCGCGCGCTTCCGCCCAATTGCGGGTCCGGGGGGCCATCACGGATCCATCCGGCTCGAAAGATTGCGCAGGAAAAGGGGTCTCGTAGGACTCCAGTCGTGATGCTTCACGAGGCTGCGTAATTGTTCGCTGCGTCATTGCTCGCAGCGTCGTACCTCAGGGGAGACCGTGGCGTCGAGCTGCCCGGCGCAATACCCCACAGGGGAGCCTGTCCACTCCAGGGTTGGTCCCGCGGGGGCCCTCGGATGGGCAGGGGCGGAAGAGACCCAGACCTGCTCGCGCCGTGCAAAAGCATGGCGAGCAGATTTTGGCCCTTTCGGCTTCCAGGGGCCCTCGCCGGGAAGGGGTTGGGACTTCAGGGGGCGCCGCATGGAACAAGTCAAGACGTCGCATGTCTGGGGAGGTAGAGGAGGGAAACGGGGAGGGCCTCACGTGGTTATTTCTGGAGCTCTCTTTGGCTTCGCTTGGCTTCAGGAGCCTCCAGGGGGCTCCAGGATGCTCTTTCTCTCTCTCTCTCTCTCTTTCTCCTCCCGCCAGGGGGTCCATGAAATCCGAACGGAGCTCAGAAGATCTATACTCATGTCGCTTTTTCTTCCTCGACGACAAGGCCGATCTCGCCAACTCCCCCTGAGGCATGGGCAAGTCGTAAGTCGTGCACTGCGCCTGGCCCTGGCACTCATAAGTCGCCGTGGTCGATCCTCGTGCGCATGCCGCCTTCGATCTCGATGTCCCCCTTCTTCGAGTCGAACCCGCCATCGGTGAGCTTGCCATAGAGCCAGCGAATACCGAGGGGGGAGGGCTAGGAAGAGGAGACGGATGAAGAGACGGACCAGACGACTCAACAAGGCGGGCGTGGAGGAGGGGGTAGGCGCGCCGCGCGCGATGTTCACCCCCGCGGAGGCTTCCACTTTGATGTTCACCCTCCCAGGCTTGATCCCAAAGCCTGAAGCAATCGCCTGCACCAAAGCCGTACATACCTTAAAACGTGCGCGGGGGAAACATCTGAGCGCGAAGCTCATGCGTAGAACACGCATAACAGGAACGTGAATAACATGATTTCTGCTTGCGCTGACCACGCGTTTGACAGGGCAGATGTCCCCCCCCCCGAGTCGCGAGGCCGCCCTCGTGCCGCGAGCGCTCGCGCAGCGCGCTCACCCGAAACCCGCCCGCAGGCGTGTGCGAAGAAGTGTGCGTACGCCTGCCTGCTCCGATCCCAGACACGTCCCTCTGTTCAAGCCCACCCGCGACACGTCACCGCAGGATCCACTCGGGAGTAATCGGGCGCCCGAGTTATCCGGGGTAACTCGGGTCCGGGGTAACTCGGGCTTGGATTCCCGAAAAAGGAACCCGAGTTATCCCTGACCCGACTTACCCCTGATGATTCGGGGCTCTGAGGTAAGGAAAGGGGGGACAGCAAGGGGTAGGGGAGAGCCTCGGCTGGGGAAGGAAAGGGGGGACAGCAAGGCTTCCAGATATGCTCCCACACATCGCTGTTAGGTTGCTTTGCCGGGATAATTCTAAACGACGCGAGCACGTCCGGTGAGCGACGACGACGACGAGGACCGACGCGAGCCCCGTCGGCTCACGTATGCTGAGTTTCCCAGCGCCTCCCGGCGCCGGGCGGCGCCTAGGTGTCGAGGACCTGGGCCCGCCCGCGGGGCCGACACCAGCTGCATATGCCGCAGATTTCGACCCCCCCCCCCTTTCCCTATCCCCCCCCTTTCGCTCGGCCCGAAGGATTGCAAAAAAACCAAGGATTGCACGAAGGATGGCAAAAAAACGGAGGATTGCAAACAAAACCCTTCCTTCAAGGATTGCAATCCTTCAACCGGCACCGAATCGGGGCATCGCGTCGGATCGGCGAGTCTGCCGAGCAGTGGGCCGCCCCGCCACGGAACTCGGCGCGCCGGCATCGGAGCGGCCGCGCCGGGGCGCGAGGCACGGCAGCGCCGCGCAGGCCCTCGGGGGCCGCACCTCGGATGGACCGACGATGGCACTCCGGAGGCGAGCCGCAGCGAGCCCGTCGAGAGCAGCATCGAAGCGACGCGACGGGATCGCAGCGGGCCCTGCGGCGGTCGGTCGGGAGCAGCGGGCAGGAGCGCGGAGGGAGGCGCTGGCTCGGAGGCAGCCGAGATCTCCGCCCGCCCGCCCCCCATGGAGGGGAGGGGAGGGGGAGAGCTGCTCGACCCCTGAGGCAGGAATGGGGGAAATCGGCGCTCCTCCTCCTCCTCCTCCTCCTCCCCTCCTCCTCCTCCTCCTCCTCCTCCTCCCTCCTCCTCCTCCTCCTCCCTCCTCCTCCTATCCCCTCCTCCTCCTCCTCCTAAGGGGGGATTATCGTGCGGCTCAGCGCTGGTCTGGCTGGTGCTGGGGGGGGGGGATTTCGATAGGGGAACGAAGAATGACCGAGAGGTCCGCGCGGATTGCTCGGATCGGCGCTGGACCCCCCTAACGTGGCGCGCGAAGCGCGCCAGGGGCGGCGCCGGAGGCGCCGCCAGGGGGTTTCCAGCGCGGATCGGAGAAAAGCGCGCGGATCTCCGAGATTCTGTGTTTATGTCAGTCTTCGCTCCCCTAAGGGAGGCGCCCGAAGCAGACTGGGCTCGGGGGGGTTAGCAGGTTAGCAACACAGACCTCCTCTCAACGACGGGTGGGCACGTGGGAGCGTGACCCCGGCGATCGCGCCACGCACGTGTGGCAAAACGGCAAAGGGGGGAGGGGGGGGCGGGCAGTTAGACTTGGCCACGGCCCACTACACCCGCACGCTCTTCGCCCGAAGCAGATTGGGCTCGGGGGGGTCCAAAAATACAGACCTCCTTTCAACGACGGGTGACCCCAGCGAGCGCGCCACGCACGCTCGGCAAAACGGCAAAGGGGGGGCAGGGTTAGACTGGGCCAGGGCCCACTGCACTGAGGTCGGGCATGTCCTCCTACAGGCGGATTTTGGAAGCAAGTCAAACAATATTCCAGAGTCGCCAAACGTACTCGAGGAATCGTCTCCTGACTACTTTCCTGACTAATTTGGGCTAGTCCTCCTGTAGAGGGACAAACGCCCGACGCAACCTCAGCGAGCGCCACGCACGCTCGGCAGAACGGCAGGGGGGGGGTGGGCGGGGCGGCTGGGCTGGGCAAAGGCCCATTACACCCGCACGCTCTCATCAGCACGATGCGCATCATTTTCATTTCAGCATCGTCATCAGCATCATCATCAGCATCATCCACATCATCGGAAAGATCATCACCATCATGATCATGATCATGATCATGATCATGATCA